AAGATTCGCCCAAGGGGGCCCTGGCACCTTGGGAGTATCTGTGAGAGAACAGAAGCTCCTAGAAGAAGAGAGAAGAAAGGGCCACAGCCACACCTCATTGACTTCACCATTTGCCTTAGGGCCAGCCTGGGATCCAGATGGCGCTGTTGTGGGCCCAGAAGAAGAGGAAACACAATGAGGAACATTCAACTATTTTGACCTCTGGCATAACCCCCGCTTCCCAAAACCCCATTTAATCCTGGGGACTTCAGGGAAATTTTCAGGTTCCTTTTCTTGAGAAACAAACCATCCCCAAACATCAATGATTTACTATTTCTCCCAATATGGTGGGTTGGCACTCTAAGTGGCTCTTCCACTGGTCTTGCCTGGGACCACTCCTGTAGCTACAGTTATCTGACAGCTTGAATGGGGCTGGGAGGTCCAGATGACTTCACTGACATCTGACTCAGCTCTATACTCTGGGCCTCCCATCCTCCAGTGGACAACATGGGCTGCTTCACAACATTGGAGGTCTCAGGGTTTCAAGAGGGTGAGAGCTGAAGCCTCTTGGCCTCTTGTGGCCCAGGTGTCAGAACGTGTACACCACATGCTGTTGGTCAAACCAGTCACCAGGCCGGCAAAGATCACAGAGGGTGGAGCAACAGACTCTGCCTCTTGGGGGGAGGGGTGGCAATGTGATATCACTGAGATGCACGGACAAGGGGGCACGATTTGGGGCCACTGTGGTAACAACCTACAACAGGTGTTGCAGTCGCTATTTCCAGAAGGTCTGTCCCCATTAGCCTAAGAATTTCACTGACAAATTATATGGTTATTCAGTTTTCTGGGGTCAACAAGATAGTTAATGGCCTTTAGTCAGTGTGGTCAGTTACTGACCAAACAAGGAGCAAAGCCAACCCAGACATTTGATACCAGAGCCTTTCTGGGTCTTTGAATCAGCTTCTCCAACCTCCCTGTTCCTTCTCACTGAAAAGTATATGTGCTATAGATGGTACATGTGTATGATGTTGACCTGAGGCTTAAATAAGGAAAAAGTAAAATTATTTTTGACACTTTAAGATGCTTTTTATCATCTTGAGGAAGGGGAATCCAATTCTAAAGACTGTTCTGTAACCATAATATAAGCCAGCACTCCATGGGCTCAGTCTTGGAGTAGTATCACATTGAAAAATACCAAAAAATATAAATCATTTTAATCTTAACTTGCATCTCTGGAGGAACCTTAAAGAAGATCCACTTTCTAAGCCAAAGAACCATTTCCCCTCAGTTGCCAGCTCCCTCACAACTTGAAGCTGGCTCACCAGCTCTTTCTCCCTCACCCGACTCTCCACTGTCTCCCCAGGTTCCCTCTGACACTCCCCAATGGTAGGAGTTCTCTGCCCTCACTCTTTCCTCTTCCACATGAGCTTTTCCCTCTAGAAGTGGCTCTCAGAGCTCTCTGAAACAAATCCCTATTCTGAGTCCTTCTTCCTGCTGATTAGCTTACGGTTCCTTCACTTTGGTACTAATGATCACTGTGGCCATGTAATTCCTTGTTAGGGGCTGTTTTGTGCACTAAAGGATGTTCTGCAGCATCCTTGGCCTCCATCCAATGGCAGCCAGTAGCGCTGCCTCTTAGTTGTGACAACCAAAAATGTCTTCAGACATTGCTCAGTGTTTCCTGGATGGTCAAAGAAACCCCAGTTAGAACCACTGGATTACCCCAACCTGTATTTCAAGGCCCTAGGAGACTGGGGATGAGTAACAAAATGCTTTGACAGGGCAGTGGCTCTAATGCCAGCATTTTCCATGGTGGGAGGGGAAGGGAAGTAAACTAAAATATGTATTTACATTTAATAATGTGTGTCTTTATTACAGGACCATGATCCAGCAGTGTGGTCAGGAAACGAAAAGGACTCACATATAAGTGAAATCACATGCTCTGAGCTGCAGCCTGAGAAGAGCATGAGAAACTAACACAAGGTTATCACCTGGCCCCAGAAGGCAACCAGAGACTGCTGGGTTCAGGTCTGAGACCTGCCACTTTTTATCAGATAGAGCAGGTGTGGGTTGGGCCTTGGGCATGAGTATTTGAAAAGGCCCTTTGGGTGTTTCTGAAGTTCATTTCTGGTTGAGAACTTCATTTTTTTAAAGACTTAATAAACGGAGGCAGCTACAGTGGCGAACACGTTAGAATGCTGGATAAGAAACCTGGGATCTCTGTCAGGCGGATCACTAACTAACTGTGTGACCCTGACAAAGGGATTTCACCCTCTGGGACTCATTTTCATCATCTCCCAAACAAGGATGTTGGACCAAATAAGTGTTTCTTCAAGTGTGGTTCAGAACTACCTTGGATGTGAGTCAAAATGCAGACATCTGGACCTGGATTAACATTGAATGAATTGGATAAGCAACAAGGTCCTACAGTATAGCACAGGGATCTACATTCAATATCCTGCAATGGCTCATAATGAAAAAGAATATGAAAAATATATATATATATATGAAACTGAATCACTATGCTGTATACCAGAAATTAACACAACGCTGTAAATTGACTATACTTCAATTAAAAAAAGTTTTTTTAAATAAAAAAACATTGAATGAATTGAAATCTCTCAAGGCGAGAACCTGGAGATCTACATTTAAAAAAACGCATCCTGAATTTTTTCTACAATAACGCATTTAGGGGTTATTTCCCTGTATCAGATTCTGTGATAAGCTTTCCTTGTTGTCATAATACATACCTATGATGTAAGTGTTATTATTATTATTATGCTCACCTGACAGATGAATAAGCTGAGAGTCACAGTGATTAAGTGACTCTCTCAAGGTCTCAGGCACAGTAAGTTTGGGGAGCCAGGTTCCAAACCAAGCAGTCTGGCTGCAGAATCCCAGCCCCTACATTGTACACTTTGCCTTTCTTGAGTACTGATTTTTCAGAGCCACTGGATTCTAATGGTTCCTAAGGCTCCTGACACCTTTCAGATTTTAAGACTAATTAAAGTTCTTCCAAACTGCCTCTACTGTAAGCAGGGATGGCTTTACAGAAAGGCAATTTCTGAGCGGAGTAGGGGAAGGAAAAAGATTCACTAAAATAAACAGGGAAAGAACTTAGCTTCTAAGTAAGAGCAGTTTTTCTTATTAAGCCCCTTTCTCCAAGCTAATCATGGTTAATTCATTGCCATCTTTCATTATAGAAACTAACTGAAAGATTATAAGTAAATACCTTTTAGTCAGAGGTTGCAGTTAATTTCAGCTTCGATACTTTTTAATGTTTCTGACTTAATACTGATTGATCATGAAATTCCAAGAAGTCACATGGAGACTGGTCTGCAGTTTTATACTCACTCTCATCCTCTCTCTTAGATAGACTATTTCAAACAGCCTTATGGAGAGCCCAGGAGAGGCATTTGTTTTGATTTTCTTCATTAATGTTTTATCCTTTCAGCACAAATCACGGAGAATGCATAACAGGATGAACACTTGCAAGCAGAATCTGCAAAATAAAGTCAAATTCAGGAATAATTGGGTTACACCTATTCATCATGTCTACTATTACTGACAATATTCAGACAATGTAATTCCTATTACACCTGCTTTCCGAAAAAAAAAAAAATCTAGTCAGTAACCCTAAATTAAATCAACATTTTTAGTGTATATAATTTGTAGTTCAGAATGAGCTATAATTATCATTTAGGGAAACCATATGGAAAGCATTACCAGACTTCACTAAGTCTTTGGTTTTAACAGTGGTCCATGACTCAAAATGCTTTATCCAAACAGGTTGTAAATTCTGAGACAAGCAGGATGCATTTCAGTCATTTTTATATTAATTCCAAATGAAGAATTCATTGTCTTTTCAAATTACAATAAGTTGGAGAGCAATTTCCCGCTAAGCAAATCAAGGAAATTGAAAAATTACTTCTCTGGGAGCTGTTTTCTACATCCTTTTTTAGAAAGGCTTTTAAAAAAAAGACATACTTTTATTATTCTTGATGTGTATACTAACAGACATCTGCATTGCCAAAACAATTTTCTTCCCCTTCCTTACAGTAGAAGGTGAACTCTGAAAAATGTTTAATGGTCAATGTAATTTCATTCTGAGGCGAGTCTGGAGCCTGCAATGAAAGCTCACATTTAAGAACCTCAATTAATATTTAGAAGATTAGCTCCCCAAGTTATTGTCCTCTCTCAATGATGCACTTCACTTCCCAGGGAACCACAGAACTGTTAGTGTCACAGTGAGGCCAAGGATTCACCAAAGCTGTGCCCTGGGGGCACTCAGGAGTCCTCAAAATTCTTGAGATTGTTAAATTAATCTGAGATTTAGAAGGGTGTACATAATAATCCTGAAAAAGAGAGAGGAAATGGTAACAAATAAAGGACGATACTGAAAACCAAAATGAGAAGAAGAAATAAAATCCAAGAAATAGTGTGGCATAGAAGATAACCCAAAGCAACAAAAGTAAATCTTAAAAACAATGTTTGTTTTGCCTTTTGAAACTCTATTCCTGCCCAGTACCTGCTCTATGTAGAGATGTGGGAAGATTCTCTTATGAGAAGACGAGGGGCATATACGTGCCCCAATAGTTCTTGCTCCACCAGTCCAGGAAACATTGTGATTTACCCAAGAGGGTGACTTGATCTCTGTTTAGGTCATCTGGGCCCAGAGCTCTCTGGGCAAGGCCTATTGTTATGGATATTGACACTATGGAAGTTTCTGACTTCATTTCAGAGACTTCTGAAAAAGAGTCAGGAGCTTTCCATCCTACACGTTGCAGCTTCTGCAAAGAGACTGGTTGGTGAGCATTAGGACCAGAGTACTCTGGGTTTGAAGGTCTGTCTCATGTGATGGGAGAAGTTTATTGAATTTTAAAGGTCTTTTCTGAGGGTGCCATGGGGTTTGTCTGAAGGCTGCCCTGTTGGCAGGATTTGGGCTTGGGTCGGTCACTGGAGATTGGGATTTTTTTTTTTTTTAACTTGGTTGTTTCCCAACTTGGGACAAATCAAGTGACAGACATATGACATCACACTACTGACTGAATGACTGTCCCATGGGATTGTCCTGTTTCTGTAGCATGAAACAGTCTTATTTCACTTTGTTTCTATACCATGGAGCTGGATGACGAAGAGAGAAACTAGGAAGTATGGTTTTTATACAATAAACAAGTAAATGTCACCAAGTGAAAAATTTTCCCCACTGTTTCATCCTTCCAATCAATGCTCCCAAGTTGGGTCAATACAGATGCAAAGACTTACTAGATTTAATGGTGAAAATCACCAGGACAACTAAGTCCAAAGGCATGTCACAGACTGTCTTGGAGATGAGCTGAAGAACTATGTTGCCTCCCAAGCTCAATTTCTGAAGGAAACCAGAGGGTTGGCTTTAGCTAAGCACAAATATGGTCTCATGCTAGTGGACCCTGCACAGGAGGATTCTATGCAGTTTGGATAAAGATCATGAGAAAGCTCATTTTAGACTTTGATCAAGCACAAGTCGAAGAACAACTTTTCCTTTTCTTCTTCCTCTTCCCCTTCTTCCTCCCTCCCTCTTTCTTTCTTCCTGCCTCACTTCCTTCCTTCTTTCCTCCCTCCCTCTCTTCTTTCTCTTCCATATATTAAGCATGGTTCAGACATAGTAAAAGCTTAGAACCACTAGAAAAGTATTTAATATTCTCCTCTTAATGATTCCTAAAGTAGTGATCCAGAGTTGTGAAAAAAAGTTCAAATATCTCATGCCATTTCTTCTGTCTATCAGAAGATCAGTGCTTGTTACATAGCAAGTATCAGAAATACGTTTACTACTCTTCTAATGTTTACTTTGAAAAATAAATGAGATGATGTATGCAAAACCTTCAGCAGTGCCAGCCCCATATATCCAATACCATGCTCAATAAATGGTACTGGATATAGCTATACATTATTATAAATTATATAGTAAAAATATAAATAAATATTGTTACTATGATCATCTTTGCTTGGCAAACTTCTGTTTATCCCCTAAAACCCCACTAGAATTCAGCCTTTTCAGTCGCTCCCAAATAGAATTGATCACTCTGTCTTCTACAGAGGGAATGGTAACAAATAAAGGATGAAACTGAAAACTAAAACGGGGAGAAGAAATAAAACTTCTCCTGAGTACTTATAGGAGCTTATATTGTGTTATAATGAGTAGTTCACTGGTATGTCCCCTTTGATGGGTCACGAGGTCCTTGAAGGGAAGGATTCTGTCGTATTCAGCATCAGATTTCCTGCAACCCACAGGGCAGGGTCTGGCCATGTGGTAGGTGCTCAATGACATCTGTTAAACTGTACAACAACACTGGACTAGAGACAAAGGGAACCAAGGCTCCCATCTTCATGCCCAAATGAAGATGGGAATGTAAAGAATGTTTTTCTTTGAAGAAAGAAATCTCAGGGGCTTACTTGAAAATGGCTGAGTGCTTACAGAAATGAGTGCCAAAAGCAACGTATAAGCAACTTAGGCCTGGTGCAGCCCTGGTGCTAGAAAGCGTCCCAGCCTCCTTCTTTGCCTCAGCAGCTGCAAAACAGATGGGGATGAGTGTGGCTCAGTCACGCTGCCACTGGCCTGGGCAGAAGGGGCCAGGCTCCAAAAGGAAAAGAATGTTTTCTCCCACGTGTTTGTCTGAAAATGAAATTTTCTTTAAAGATCACCACCATGATCCCAACATGACTGGATGTGAGTTTTGGTGCTCTTGGTAGGGGGGAAAAGAAAAGTCTACCAAGCGCTGAAAATGATCTCCATGTCCCCTCACGGCAGTTGTGGGGCTGCCGTGGGACCCATCTTGCCTAAAGATGTCCTTTCATCTTCCCCAAGGCTCTGTATTTTCTTCAGCCCACAGAGTGATGTGATGGGGACAAATGTAGTCAGAGAGGCAGGAAGGATCTCAGCTGTGATCCAGAAAATGTCTGTTTTGGGGGCTGAGTCTGCAAAATGTGCAAAGTTTGGCCCCAAATGATGTGCACACAAGCAAAATTCTGAGCAGCTGTGAGCAGTGCCCCCTACGCCCACTGCTCCCTGCCCCCGCGTCCCAGGCTGACAAAATGGTCTCTGGGTCTACTGCTTGGCTGCAAAAAATTCTCCAAGCGAGCTGGCTGAGGTTACCTGCATCATCATGAGCCCCACTCCGAGTCCACAAGACAAAGGGCAGCTTGTCTTCTTTCATGGATTAATGAACTACTTTGATGCCTCCATTCAACGTCAGCAAAGGGTGTATCAGACACAGCGGGAGGTGAGGTGACAGAAGGAAGAAGTAATAGTTCTCCAGGAACTCCCAATCTTGCTGGTGATGAGGATTGTAAACATGGGATTCTAACAGTTTTGACAAGTCCCCAAAGAAAAATATGTTCAAATAATTATTAATAGGGGCACAAGAAGAATCATTCTGTGTAACTGCCCTGGAAAACTGGTAAGACAAGGGTCTTTCACCCACGAGGGTAACCTAACAGACATTAGAGCCAATGATGGATTCCAGAAGAATTCAGTATCACTAGAGCCAATGTTCAAACTGTTCAAAGGGCCTATAATTATATGATAGGTCTCAGGGAAATAGCTTGCTTACTCTGAGCCTGTCTTCATAAAAACGGGTAGTTTACTAGATTTTAATGGCAATGCCTAGCACCATCACAGTCTTAACTGCCTCCAGGGATTAGGCTCCTGCACACATGGTTCCAATCCAGAAATTTTTGTCTGCACCAAAACCATGTTCCTGAGCCTCCCATTCCTTGCATTGTTCAGCAGAAAGCACATCTAACCTTGACACTCCATTTCCACACATTCTGGATGGCCCTCGTGTTCCAGGTTTGGTGAGAGATCTTTATGTTTCCCTCGGGCAGCTGGTGGTCAGGGAAGGGGACATTCAAGACAGTTGATAGGAATAATGTATTGTCTTGAATCTCCAAACACAAACACTGCTAGCATCACAAGGGGAGAGGGGGAATGGAAAATGGTCTGTGGACAGAAGACTTTGGGAACCTAGTCTAACCTTTGGGGTGGTCTCAAACTAAAATGGGTTTATGAAAATTGCAGTCTTGCATCTCTGAGAAGTTCTGATTTGTGTCCTTCAGAGTCTTTATATTGAAGCATCCTAAAAGGACAAATATATCAATGGGAAATATGGATCATCTGTTACAGAAATATATGAATGTAGTATGGTATTACCATGTTTTGTTTTGTTTCTATCTTGTCAAAAAACCTGTTCTCAAAAGGGAACCCTCCTATACCGCTGGTGGGAATGCAGGTTGGTGCAGCCACTGTGGAAAACAGTATGGAGATTCCTCAAAAGACTAGGAAAAGATTAACCATATGACCCAGGAATCCCGCTCCTGGGCATATATCCAGAAGAAACTCTACTTCAAAATGACACCTGTACCCCAATGTTCAAAGCAGCATTATTTACAATAGCCAAGACATGGAAACAGCCTAACAACAGATGACTGAATAAAGAAGATGTGGTATATTTACACAAT